GTGTACTCATATAAGTAAAATAAATAAATCTCAAAAGGAAAAAAAAACAACAACAACAAAAAACTGACTGTGGACTGAGGTTGGGGATTTAGCTCGGTGGTAGAACTCTGGCCTAGCAAGCACAAGGCCCTGGGTTCGGTCCTCACCTCCAAAGGTGGGAAAAACCTGGCTGCTCTTCCAGAGGATCTGGGAACAATTCCCAGCAACCACATAAATAAATAGATAAATATTTAAAAAAAACAGATGGGGGCTGATATTGGGATGTAAATCAAATAAATAAACCAGTAAAAAAGAATTAACTGTTCATTTTAAAAATAGAAAGAAAGGAAGCTAAGTGAGCCTTAAAGAATGAGCCAGTAAGCAGCACTCCTCCTTGGCCTCTGCTTCAGTTCCTGCCTCTAGGTGCCTGCCTCAGGTTCCTGTTCCGACTTCCCTTCATAATGGGTTGTAAAATGAGATCTCTTACTGAAACAACCCTGTGTGGGTCTGAGCTGGGTCCTATGCTTATATGTTATAGTTGTGTAGCTTGGTGTTTGTAGAGGAATTTTAATCCAGCAACACGGCCGCTCTTGCAAGAGATCACATCCAAAGACCTTCTAGGTCTGTGCGATCCAGCTGCAATACAGACATGTCCTGAGTACACACCTGTAATCCCTCTGGCTGGAATACAAGCACACCCTTAGTACCCACCTTTAATCCCAAACAATGAAGGTAAAATTCGTTTGTAGAAGGAAGTAGCCATGTTTGAAAGTGAGGTCTAACTGGGAGGCAGATAAAATGACAAATCAAAGATTTGATAAAATGAGTCAGAACAGCACAGGAAAGAGAAGACTTAAGAGAGCAGTGGAGCCGGGGGGTGGTGGCGCACGCCTTTAATCCCAGCACTTGGGAGGCAGAGGCAGGCGAATTTCTGAGTTCGAGGCCAGCCTGGTCTACAGACTGAGTTCCAGGACAGCCAGGGCTACACAGAGAAACCCTGTCTCGAAAAACCAAAAAAAAAAAAAAGAAAAAAGAAAAAGAAAAGAAAAGGTGACAGAGGAATTTGCTTGTGTGACTATGACGTCAGCCTCCTCCATGTGCAAGCCACACCAGCCCTTACAGGAGACTGACCTATCGCTCCACACCTAAGCATCCACCTCCAAAACAGGTCTAGGCTTGTAAGGACAGATTCAAGGAGGGGTATGGGATGGTTTTTAGCAGATTTAAATTCTCATCAGTAGAGGAGCAATTTGAAAAGCATGGGCTAGAGATTTGACTGTATTTCTCTCAGCAGTGAAGCTGCGACCTGCTCACACTGGCTCTGCAGACACAGATGTATGTCTCTTTCCTGTCTGCATGGGGAATACCATGCCAGTGGCTTGAAGTTAGTCACAGTGAGAGTATTCACACCAAGGAAACTGGAAAATGTAACACCCCGGGACTTTTTCCTCCCACAGGGCCGGCCAGTTGTCCGCACCCGTCAGTGCACGCAGCACTAAGTCGCTCAGTCCACCCCGGTTGGTCTGGGTGTCTCACAGCCTCACAGCGGAAAGTAAGGAAAGGAACACAACAGGTTGGCAGAACTGCTTTGTCTCTTCATGATTTTTGTTTTGTGTTGAATTTTGAGACAGGGTCTCTCCACATAGCCCTGGCTGTCCTGGACCTCACGATGTAGACCAGGCTGGCCTCCAACTCACAGAGATCCGTCTGCCTCTGCCTCCCGAGTGCTGAGACTAAAGGTGTACACCACCATACACTACTTGTAATTTTGTTTTATAGCTCTCTATGTAGCCCAGTCTGTCCTCAAAAGCACCATCCTCCTGCCGCAGCCTCCTGAGTGCTGGGGTTGGAGGCATGCGCTGCTACACGTGCTCAGACTGATAAGGATGGGCTAGAGATGGGTTTCTGGACAGAGGTGGAATTCCTGAGGTGGAATGTGTCTATACCACATACAGGCTGGGTGACCTCAGCACCTCACTTCACCCCTCTGTGTCTCAGCCCATGAAGGAGTTTGATAACAGTCCCCGCTCAGGGACCTTTTACAGGGGGCGGTGCTAGGTCACAGAGACTGCTCAGAGCACAGTCACGACCTCAGCAAGGGAGGACGGAGTCAGAACTGATGGACAGATGGACAGGCTCGGTATTTCACATACACAAATATCTTTGGTGTTTTTACATATAATAAAAAATAAATACTTATAAAATTAAAGCCAACAACCCAGATCGAGAGAGTGTGTGACTAGGAATGGCCAGAAATGTAGTGGATGAGATGCCCCTCCCAACCCCACCCACTACTCACCATCAGTGAAGAGAGGCTCTGGGAGCTTCCGGAAGAAAGCCTTGAGCAGGCTGCTGATCACATTGAGGTCCTGCCAGCGCTAAGGAGGAACAGAGCTGTCAGGACACAGACAGGATCCCAGGGGCCCACATTCCCATGTCTGGTAGCTCTAGGACCAGCCAGGCCACCAAGTCCCCAGGTCTCTGTGCCTGTCCAGAACATATACTTGACTCCAGCTAGCCCAGTGGGCTCAATACTGTCTGCCACAAAAAGTGAGAGGGCCCAAATGTGGGGAACAGAAGTCAGGGCAGCCATCTCACATAAGCACGCCCTGACATCTCCAGTGTATCCGTAAGTGCCAGGCCGCCTGCCGCTCCCCAGCTAAGAGCGATCCTCTGAGCAGGCACATCACCCAAAGCCCAAGTGTGCACAGCACAGGGCTCACACGCTGCCGACTCCTTCCTGTCCTGGGCCCTCTGCACATGTCCCCTGTGCTGTCCCCTAGGGGAGCTCTCCATCCCACGCCCTGCACAGGAACGCCTCCTCACCTTGCCTCACTGCCCAGGTCTAAGCAGCCACCCATGAATCCCAGCACCACACCATCTGCACCACACTCTGACATTCTTCCAGATGCTTCTTCCCTTGTCTTCACTATCTCCCATGAGACTGTGCTCTGAGCGGCCGGGATGCAAATGATCTAAGTGTGGGGTGATTTTGTCTCCTGGGGCTCTCCCATTTTCATGTGTGTGTACACATGTGAGCATGAGTATGGGAGTGTACACGCTCATTTGTGCACGTGAAGGCCTGATCGTTCTCTGCCACCTTATCCAGTGTGGCAGGGTGTCTCAATCGAACCCAGAGCACACCGCTATGGCTACTCTCCTTAGCCAGTTTGCTCTGGAGAGCCTGTCTCCACCTTCTCAAGACTGGAACTACAGGTGAGCTACCAAAGCCACTCAGCACTTACAAAGGTGCTGAGACCTGCTCAGCCAATACTTTAACCACTGCACTATCTCCCAGCCCTTCTTCTTCTTTCTTTAAAAATGCTGCTTATCACTCGTGCGCTTGGGTGTTGTGCGTATGGGGAGGTCAGAAGACACAGTCTGGGAGTCAGCTCTCTCCTCGCTCCGCGGGTTCTGGGGAAGTTCCATCTCACCAGGCTTGCCTGGCAAGAACGTTTACCTGCTCGGATTCTCCAGTCGGGCTATTTTGGTTTTCCCATCTGGGTTGAGGGAGCACCACACACATAGGAGGATATGGCCAGGGATGATGCTAAATTTCCTCCACTACAATACCACACACGTGCACCTCAGTACATAATTCATTTGCCTCAAATGTCCACCGAGCTCGGGAAGAGAAGCTGCTCTAACCATCTAGAGGAAGAGACAGTTCACTCTGTCCACCAGGGGGCGCCAACACCCTACATGCCATAGCTAGGCATAGCTAGGCTTATGATCTAGTTCTGAGTTCCTACCTCAGAACTGCCAGAGAGCAGGAAACAGTCTGCAGAGACTGACTCAGACTCACCACAGAGAGCCTCAGCTCTGTGCCAGAGTGCCCAACATCACCCTCTCCACGGGCGCACACACAGTGCTGACTTCCACACTCCACCAAAGCAAAGACGAAACCTCATCAGTGGGAGTGATGCCTGCCACCAAACTGCAGCTAGCACACCGGGCGTGCCTGCTCAACCTGGTCAGGCCGGCCACCCCTCCATCTCTGCCCCCGCTTCTTCCCAGCTAAGGTGAGCTGATGTGTCTCACTGAATGCTGACCCGGTTTGGGGTGGTTCTTACAGGCCCCTCTCCGCTCCTCCTTGATGGCTGAGCACCTCTCCTCTCCCTCCAGTTTCCTCTGACAGTGTCTGTCCCACACCAGCTCCCTAAGAGCTCTGTCCTTCTGCCCTTCCAAGCTGGTATCAGTCTGGCTTTTCCCTTGGCCCCAGGCTGTCACATAACCCCACTTAGCCAAGGCCTGAGGAGACTGTCAACCCATATAGGTGATGTACCATCATCCCAAATGCAATGGGGCATGACCTGACTCATCCCTCCCTTCAGCCTCTCCTCAAGCCATCCTGTTTCTCATGTAGCTACCAGTCCACCCTCTGGTCTCTCTGCCTGTCCTTCCTCCCCTCTCCCTGCCTCCACTTACCCAGGGCCCTCTGTTATCCTGACCCACAGTGACCCCTGCACCTCTGGGCTTCTTTCCTCACCCTCTGCTCTCCACAAAGCCTTGGCATCACTCTCCCTCATGCCCTCCCCTTGGTGGTGCTCCCCAGTGTAAGAACTGCCCAAAGCTCCCTCACTGTCCCTGGCTCAAGGTCAAAGGTTACAGGAATCCATCAGTAGCCCTGGGTCTGACGGTCCCCACCCCCAAACACAGAAGGTGTGCCCATCTTTGTCCAACCCCCAAGCACTTTCGTGAGTCTTAAACCATGCCAGCTCTCCCTCCTGCTTTGCCACATCCTCAGGAGCTCTGGAGGCTGCCCCTGCTCCAGCCCTCAGCAGTCTCTCCCTCCTCTCATACACAAGCGCTTGGTGGCAGCTCGCTCTTTTCTCTTATCTCTGATGCCACATCTACTTGTCTCCTCTCCCAGAGATAAAAATATTCCGTGTCACTGGTCTGTGGTGCGTCACTAGCCAGACTCACAGCTTTCCCCCCAAAGCCCTTTTCATTGGCGCCCCTTTGGTCAAATAAAAATCTTACACAAAAATCCAAGGTGGGCTAGCCAGAGATCACTCAACAGGTAAAGACGCTCGCGGCCACACCTGAGGAGCCAAGCCGAGTCCCCAGGACGCACATGGTGGAAAGGGAGAACCAACTTCCACATGTCCCACAGCACACACAGTCCAGGTGGAGCCCCCAGCAAATGAATAGATGTGAAAAACTCCAAGGTAATACTCAGAGCAAAGCAGAGTGGCCCTCGATCCAGCAAAGCTAGGGCTCTCGACCTGTGTGTGGCCTCTTCAAAGTCCCTCGGGGAACCTGAGACTCCAGGACTCATTTGAACACTACAGTCATGTACACGCTCTGTGGCGTAGTGTCAGCAGCTGCGGTGTGCTCTCAGCTCCAGCCTTTCTTTCCAGGCTGCAGCATTGGTGCACACCCCCTCCTCCAGGCCAGGGCTCTTTGGACCTCAGCGCCCCACAGAATCCAGCCCATTTTGCCTGGTGCTAAAGGACTGTAGGAAGGAGGAGGGTGGGCAGGATGAGGAAGGAGAGAAGGAGGGGAGGCAGGGAGAACAGCAGGAGGCCTAAAATGCTTGCTAACTGGCTCTCTTGGAAGTTGATTTCCCAGGAAGTGTTCAGCCCTCTCTCTGGCCGTATTTATATTTGCACTTAGCTGAGAGAACTCGGCCGTCCTAAATGCCCATGCAAAACTGTCACCCAGCCAGAGGACGACAGCTGCTCCGCCACTGCCCATAGCTATATCCCAACTCTTGGAAGGCAGAGGCAGAAGGATCAGCTTGGGCTACATAGAGGACCCTCTCTGAAAAAAACAAAAACAAACAAACAAACAAAACCCAGCTGCCTTTGTCTCAGTACCTAGCAGGCCAGGCTACATTTCTTTTTGGGCCATTCTTGGGAAGACGCCCGTTGGGGCCGGCCGACTGGGCAGGCTTTCTTCTGCCATCTGGACACTCTGGCCCAGTGACAAGCATATAGTGGAACATGGTGAGTGCAACCAGGCTGTCCCCGGACTCCACTAATGGCTGAGCCACACCCACCTCATCCTGCAGGTTGATGTCACTGGGCCCACGGTTGAGCTGCTCCTGCAGGCTAGACACTACTGCATTGTTGCCAGGTACCCGGTAAATGCCAGTTGATTCCAGCCCCCGTGCCTCCACAATACGGCAGCAGGCAGCCACGATCAGGGGGACACGCTGGGAGCAGAGACATGGGAGAGGGGTTAGGAACAGGGCTGGGGTAGGAGGCTAAGTGGGTAGAGAAGGAAGACCAGAGCTGCTATCAGGACACCCAAGGAGATCAAGTTCTTTGGCCTCTCTCTAACGGTCAGAACTAATATGAGCCACAGGCTCAAAAGGTGCAAACCAGGGTGGGCCTCAGGTCAGCGAGGCCCTCTGTAGGACTCTGGGATCCCCTCTTCCGGTTGGCCATCCGGCTGTGTATATGAGGAACAGGCTGCCGTCACATTCTCACAGCTCTGGTCCCTGCCATGGCCTGCTATGCACTGCCTGCCTCGAGCACTGTGGGTACCCACCTGGTTCTCAGTGGCAGGCTGGCACTCCTCCAACCGGATCCCAAATGCCCTCGGGGTGGCCTTCTTGTTCTTCTTGATAATGTTGATACCCCAGGGGGTTCTGGGAGCTGCAGTAGTGTCTTCTGGGATGAACAGTGGCAAAGAGAGCTGGGGTCAGCTGGGGGAGGCCAGAGGGTCCCACACACTCAGTGCCACACCCACACACCAGGACACAGGGACTCAGAGGGTCCCACACATTCAGTGCCACACCCACACGCCAGGACACAGGGACTTCATCAAAGAACTGGGGAGGCCGGAAATTATATGCAGTGAGAGAAGGCTTAGAGGGTGAGGTAACTGAGCCCAGGAAGGAGGTTATGGCTCCATAAGGGTAGTTGGCGGCCTCAAGGACCAGCCTGTGAGATGAGTGCATCCCACATTTCGGCGTGACCAAAGGAAATGCTTTCTTTTGGCTGTAAAAAAAAAAAGATTTTAAAGTTTAAAAAAATTTTGCGTGTGTGTGTGCACACGTGTGTGTGTACTGGGGGTGCACATGAGTGCTGGTCCCCAGAGATGTCAGAGGAGTCAGAGCTGCTGAAGCTGGAGCTGCAGGCAGGTGTAAGCTCTGAGGCCCTCTGGAAGCTCGTCACCACTGAGCAGTCTCTCTAGTGCAGGAAGTGGTTCCTAACAGCCCGGGCTGTAAAGATGCAGGCCGCCTGCAGAGTGAGCCTCTCACTCCCACAGGACACAGGCAGAAACCAGAGGGCTGCCCAGCAAGAATGTTGTGGAAGCAAATCAGGATCCAGATGCTTCCAGCCCCGAAACCTTGAGGCCCCAGACCCCTCACAGACTCACACTCAAGGCAGACATCAGTAGTCACCCCGGGCACACACAGGCAGGGGCGCTGCCCCGCACAAGCACACTCTGTGCACACAGCCCTCCTACCCTTGCTTCCTGCAGACTGGTCCTGAGTTCTGAGGCCGCGGACCGCAGTCTGCTTGAGGAATTCAGACTTGAGGCCTCCCAGGCCCCGAGAGCCTTTAGGGGAGGCATCGGCTTTAGGCCCAGAGCTATGGCTGCAGAGGGGAGAAGGAAGAGGAGGGTGTCTTCATCTGGAGTGGCTCAGCAAGCCACTGTCCCCAGCCTCCATCCTCTCCAACTAGAGACAATCCGCTCACCTCACTTACTGAGCGAGGGAGCTCCCAACCCCACAGGACTGCCTCCCCACACAGGCTGCTCTGGGAGAACTGGTCTTACCTCACTTTGCGATAATCATTAAGCTTCTTGCTGATCAGAGCTTGGTTGGCACAGCCAGGGTCCTGCCAGGGGGAGGGGAGGAGAGAGGAGCCATGTCAGGGGCCACAGACCACCCCACCAGAGTTCCTCCCCGGCCCCTGCCTCAGTCTTCCCTCTATCCACCAGGTGGACAGCATAGACCTGGATGGGCAAAGGCCAGGGCTGGCCTCCCTGGGCAGCTGTGTGACTTTGGGGAAGCCACCTAACATCTCTGAGCCCCAGTCAGTTTGGCAGTAAGTATAGTGGGGCTGAACAAAGCAGCCTCCATGTTGGGGTGCAGAGCAGCAGAGCATTCCTCCCAGACCTGTCAGTTACAGACGGACAATTACTACAGGTGGACCGACAGTATCCCAAGAGAAAGCCTCTAGAACAGGGGACGCAGGCCCTCTGCTGTGTAGAGCAGAGGCTATCCTCAGGAGGGGAGGACCCCACCAAGGTTCTCAGGGAAAGGGCTATCCAGGGACAAGCCTGGGCGCACTGCCTTCATGGTGACGCCAGCCTCCAGTCACTAGACTGCACCTTCCTCTGCACAGGTGTGTCAGATGACCTCTGTGCAGTCTGGACCCAGAGGAGACATTGGCAATTCTAAGGAGAGAATTTCTTTTTTTTTTTTTTTTTTTTTTAGCTCTCCCCAACCTCTGCCTGGCTGCCGCCAAAGGCTAAGCCTCTGGTTAAGGTCCCTGTGTCTGTCCTCTGACTCAGGAGGGCGCTGACATCTGAGCAGGACAGCTCATTCTGCACCCCGTTCCTTGGAGATTGCCTACTCCAGCCTACCAGAGGCTATGGCTGGCCTGGAGCTGACCTCAGTGGGACAGAGCCTGCCCGAGGCAGACCCAACAAAGACAGTAATTACTGTAATCGCTGCAGTTGCTATTGTTTCTGCTGGTCCCTGGGCTCTGAGAATGCCAGCTGCCTGCAGCCAGTGCATGAGTCTGTCTTCAAACCCAAACTTAGGTGGGCAGTCCCACGGTAGATTCTTAATAGCTCTTTTCCTAGGAGAGGGAGTGAGATTCAGAGTGGCCACCCCAGGTCACAGCAGCTGAGAGGCAGCCCTGCCTTGCCCTGCCCTGCCTCTGCCTTGCCCTGGTGGCCCACTGGGCACAAGCCCAGGGCCTCACCTCGCCCTCGGCCCTGCTGTTCTCCCGGATCGCTCTGATCCAGCCCAGCATGTCATCCCGGTCCTCAGCCTGAAAGAGATATTCACAGAAGTCAGCGGTGGTCAGCCGGAACACGTGCCTCCTCTTGGTCTCGCTGTAGGAGATGTCCACCAGGCAGGAGCCGATGCAGACGGGCGCCGCCTCGTCCTCACCTGCGCCGGCCGCCGCAGCCCCCGCAGCCGCCGGCCCGGGCTCCCGCCGCTCCTTGCTCAACGAGAGCAAGCGCGCCCGCAGGACGGCATAGACGCGCTTCCACTGGCGCAGGCCGCCGCCCGCTTTCTGCAGGGAGACATAGAGTGGGAGAAACAGGGCAGCGGTGAGAGCCATGCCTGCCACGGGTCTGCCAAAGGCTGAGAAGCAGCAGGCCATGGACTACAGAGGAGACAGACCTTAGCCTACCCCGCCTCCCTTCCAACAGCCAAACTGTGGCCTCTCAGTCCACTTGCCCAGACCCACCACTAAAAACCCCAAGATGTCAACTTCTACCTACTCTAAATACCAGCACTGCCAGACAGGGACCTGAAATGGAATCCAAGAAGGAGTAAGGTCCCCAGAAGCATAAAATATCACCAAGCGTGGTGACACACACCTTTGGTTCCAGCACTCAGAAGGCAGTTAGGTACATCTCTGAGTTCAAGGCCAGTCTATGCCTATGAGTTAAAGGTGTGCGCCACCACCGCCTGGCTGAGAAACCTTGTCTTGAAAAAAAAAAATTCTTACCACGCCATCCCTTGCTCAGACTCTGCCTCGTGTGTCACCCTGAACAAAACTGTGATGGCCAGGAGCTACCAACACACTGAGGAGGCTGCCCTCCCCAGTGCCTTGCCTCTCCCTCAAGACTTCACTAGGGGCACCCTGCCTAGAACCCACTCTCAGTGTCACTTGGGAGCCGGAGGGGCTTCCAGCCCTTGCCTTGCTGCTCCCTGGCCTGACACAGGCAGCCTCTTTCCCTTTTTAAAATTGATTTATTTTGTTTTGGTTTGGTTTTGTTGTTGCTGTTTTTGAGACACGGTTTCTTTCTCTGTGTAGCCTTGGCTATCCTAGAACTCACTCTGTAGACCAGGCTGGCCTGGAACTCAGAAATCCGCCTGCCACTGCCTCTCGCCACTAATTAAAGGCATGCGCCACCACGAAGCTTCTTTCTTGCTTTCAATCCACCCTCTCTCCATACTTGTAGTTCATTTTATTCTATTCTATTTTATTTCATGTGTATGAGTGCAGGTCTGTATGCCACATTTGTGCCTGGTACCTGTGGAAGTCAGGAGAGGGCACCAGACCCCCTGAACCTGGAGCTAGGGATGGTTGTGAACTGCCCTGTGGGCATTGAGAACTGAGCCTGGGTCCTCTGCCAGGGGACCATGTGCTAGCCCAGTGGTGGTAGTAGTGATGCATGCCTTTAATCCCAGCACTTGGGAGGCAGAGGCAGGCAGAACTCTGAGTTTGAAGCCAGCCTTGTCTATAGAGTTCCGGGACAGCCAGGGCTACACGGAGAAACCCTGTCTCGAAAAACGAAAAGAAAAAAGAAAAAAAGGGGATCATATGGTCTTAACCACTAGCCATGTCCCCAGATGCAGACCGTAGTTCTGTCTTACCTAGACTAAACTACCATTTGGAGACATTTGTCTGGAGATATGGTGGAAGAGAGAGGTGTCCCTAGCAGGCAGTAGCCAAGGATGACACTAACCATGCACCCATCCAGACAGCACTCCACAGTGAAGCATTCGTCCAGGCCCAACAGGCAACAGAGAAGGAGACCTCCCTTGCAGGACTTTGTCCTGAGCTGTCCTCACCCTGCACCCCTCCTGCAGGGACATTATGCACTCCTGTGGCTTTAAGCAGTCATTTCATCTGCTGATGCCAACTGCGTTAAGCACCAGCCCAGGGCTGAGAGGCTCAAACCCTGCTCAGCAACCCCACGCCCTGCTCCTGGCTTGCACACAGCATGGGTGGGCCCCATACTCCCTGCTCACAACAGTGTACGAGCCTCTGCCCTCAAACCTGTTCTCCACCCTTGTGCCATCTTTTCCAGCTCGGTCAATCCGCCTAGCTTCCCTGAAACCTGGGAGTTGCCTCTGACATCTAGCTCATGAGAAAACAACCCTGCTCCTTTCAGAGTATCGCCTGTCCCCAACTGGGTGCCATCATCCTGTCCCCCTCATTGACCTTCTCACCTGGACAACAGCACCGACCTTCTCCGCACCCCTCTCCTTGTCCCTGCAGGCAACAGTCCTGCAGACATTTCTGCAGTGAAAGACTGCCCCTGGGTAGCCCCTTAAAGCAAACAGAAGGCCCTGAGGTCCCATGCTGACTCCAAACTCATCTCCCTGCTTCTGTCTGTCAAGCCACCAGGCTTTTGCCTCCCAGTGACTTCCTACCTTACTTACAGCCCATGCACTAGCTGCTTCTCCTGCGGGCTCTCTCACTCTCCCTCCCCACTTATTTATTTATTTATTTATTTATTTATTTATTTATTTATTTTAAAAGGGTGGGGAAATGTGGGTGTGCTGTGGCACGATAGTGAAAGACAAAGGACAACTTTAAGGACCAAGTTCCTACCTCCACCATGTGCATCCCCGGGACTGAGCTCACTCATCAGGCTTGGCAGCAAGCCTCCTCACCTGCTGAGCCCTGTGCTCATCCCCTCCTCCTCTCCTCCTCTGTTCCTCCTCCTCCTCCTCCTTCTTCTATTGTATGCATGTATGTAGGTATGTATGCATGCATGTATGCATGCATGTATGTATGCATGCGTGTGTGTGCGTATGCATGTATGTATGTATGTGTGTGTGTATGTATGGATGAGTGTATGCATGTATGCATGTGTGGATGGATGGTCGTTGTTATTGTTGCCGCCTTGGAGACTGAATGCAGGGTCTATACATGTCAGGAAGATTCTGCACTGACCTAGATTCCCCAGACCCTAGCTCTGTCTATCCTGAAACTCACTCTGTAGACCAAGCTGGCCTCAAACTCAGAGCCTGCTCTGCCTTTCAAGTGCTGGGATTAAGTGTGCACCACTGTGCTAGGCTATACTTGAACTCCTGATCTTCATGCCTCTGCCTCCCAGGCATTCGGCTTCTCTCATTTCTGTATGTGGCTGCCTCCTTCAGCTCTAAGCTCAAGTCACCGGCATCGGCTCCTTGATGAGGTGCCTCTGACAGTTCTGTTGCCCTACAGATACCCCCTAAGCTCACCTCCTGGATGTGGGTGGCCGGCTACAAGCTGCCAGGGCAAGTGCTCCTTGTTTATCAGCTAATATTGAGTCTACTTTATGTCCTGATAGTGGGGGTCTCCAGAGAACAAGGCTGAAGCACCCATGCCCGGCTTCCCTCAGGGTGGATTCCCTTAGCCTAGCACACCCTCACAGAGCCCTGGGCTCAGACAGTGCCGCCTGGAGCAGCCCTACCACTAATGTAATAAACAAGACTCCTGTTCAAGAGAATAACTGTGTTAACGTGAGGTGGCCCCAAGGCTCCCCCTAAGACTAAACCGTCTGGATAACCCTGAATAAGTCAAGTCTTTCCCTGGCATCAGTGTCACCTCTAACAGATAATGAGAGTTAAGCAGTACGTGTCCACGGTCATGTCCCTCACACAGTGGCTCTGGCAGAATGAGAACCACCCGCATGCGCCACCCATCCTCTGTCTGGCATTGGTGGTCTCTGAAGGAGGTGGAGGATGGAACTGCTGGTGTAGATGACATGAGGCTACCCCAGATAGACCCAGGGTCAGCAGCTAACTCCGACTCCAGGATACTTCTTTTAGTTCCCAGACGTGGCACCAGGTGACAAGCCCCTGTACTTCAGAACTAACTCAGTGAACCAAGGAGTTAATGCCCATCCCTGCCTAGAAAACACTGGAGCTGGGCTAGCAGGGTCACCCAAAGCTGGGGCCAGGCTCCCTGACAGAAAGATCACTAAGATACTTTTCTACCATGCATGGATGTAGAGGCTGTTGTCCCCACAGGCTCTGCCTGGACATCCTGCTGTTCTTGTCCACCCCTTCTTGGAGTGACTGCCATCTTCCCATGTCTGTTTAGTTCCACGGCCAACCTCGACTTCCCAGTTCTCACTTCCTGTAGAGATTCTGTTGTTGCGCACACCTTTTATCCCAGCACTGGGGAAGCAGAAACAGGCGGATTTCTGAGTTTGAGGCCAGCCTGGTCTACAGAGTGACTTCCAAGACAGCCAGGGCTACACAGAGAAACCCTGTCTTCAAACATCAAGGAGGTGGGGGGAGAAAAGACTCTGCTAGGTCCTTGTCATTCTCCTTCTCCCTGTGCCTTAGGCCACAGGTGCACACCTGGCAGACTAAGGTGTGGGCCGCCCTGTACCTCCCTGTCTGCCAAACCTATGCTTCCATTCACAGGATCTCAACCAAAGTACGTGTAGGGTCACACAGCTCCAACAGACCTTCCTCTCCCCTAATCCTCCCTCAGGTGGCCAGAGGCTCAAGACAGAGTCCCCCCTGCCAGCCAAGCCAGGAGCTAGGCTCCTTGGCCTATCCTGTACCTTCCTCAGCCCCAGAGGCCATCAGCCAACCTTCTCCCTAGAATCTCTTACAAACAGTTTCTGGTCCCATCCCAGGGCCTTGATCATGTAAACAGCAGCAATGATACGGATTCCTTCTGGCAGAGACATGCTACTATCCGACGTTACACATCTCTGCACTCTACCCCATATCTCAAGACAGAAAAGTTCCTCCAGGTACCAAATCCCCACGTCACCTTCTACCGCTTGCTCTGGGCTCTCCAGCCAACCTGGCTTGGGCACACTCAGCCTCCCTCCAGCCTTAGTGAGGGCTCTCCCCAGGATGCTACGTCCCACCCACTTCCTCTCTACTACAGACTCCCATGAGCTTCACCTCAACCTCCTAGACATACACACCCCACCCGCTAAGCCCCAAACTCCCTGTGCTGTGACCTGCAGTGCACCTGTCATTGAGGAGCAATTAGCACTTTCTCTGTGGTCATCAACCCCAAGAGGACAGGACTGGGCAAGCAGCCCCCTCACATAAGTCACTAGAGTTCAGCAGCTCCTCGGGAGCAGGGACTTTGTGCTCCCGGGCCTTCAGAACCTACACCTCTCCCCTCCTGACTCATCTTATAGCTCAGGGGACTTGAGTTTGCTCCCGGAGTCATATGCACACAATATGTGGCTGGGTAGAAATTCAAACTCTGACTATTTCAAAGTTCGTCCTTTCCAGGTTCCACCCCTACAGGGGTCCCTTCTACGGGTTCCATGACCATGGATTTAACCAAACAGGGATCAAAAGCACTCAGAAAAACAAAACAAAACAAAAATAACACCTGCATCTCTACCAAGGGATACAGATTGGCTTTTTTCCCTCAGCAGTCCATAATCAACTCAGAGTAACAACTATTCACATAGCCTTACATAGCATGAGGCAACATATGTCATCCGGAGATGAGTTACAGTGCCTGGGAGGATTGTGTAAGCCCAACGCAGATACCAAGCTGCTTTATATAAGGGGCTTGCGTGTCCATGAGTCTGGAGCCCTCATAAATACTGAGATTCCTGTAATGGCAGTAAGACAGAAGAACAGCAGCCCCGAGTGCCAAGCTCTGTGGGGACCCCAGTCTCACTTCCCACTGATTCTCTCTGCAATAAGTCAGGCAAGAGTTCCTGAGGCACAGCCCACAACAAACACTATATTTTTTCTCGTGTGTGTATGTGTGTTTGTGTGTGTGTGTGCGTGTGTGTGTGGTGTGACTAGGGCTTGAAATCAGGCCCTTATATCTGCTAGACAAACATTTACCAATAGTCTATACCCTTAGCCCTTTTATACATTTTATTTTGAGACAGAATTTTAGTAAGTTGCTAAGGCTGGCCTTGAACTCACTCTTTAGCCTAGACAGGTCATGAACTTCCCATCCTCCTGTCTCAGCCTCTCAAATAGCTTGGATTATAGACTAGACTCACCACACATAGCATGATACACTCTTGTTCACACCATGTCTTTTAAATGCTTAGGAGCAGGTTTGGAAAGGTGTTAGTCAGCTCCCCTTATAGACACTGAGTCATAAGCACTAGGTTCTGAGTCCTCAGATCAACAAGCCATGGCATCAAGATTGAAGGCCAGATCTGTTTAAACCACCCTGCCTCCTTTTTTTTCCGTCTCTCCAGCCCAGGGCTCCAAGCCTGGAACTCAAGCTCCTGCCTGAGAGATTAGAGCCCCACCTTACCTTCTGAGTCCTATCTGTCTCCTCCTGCCCCCTCCTCACCCACTCACAAAGTGGTGGCTTCTAAGGGGTCTTCTTACTCCCTGGCTTCCCTCACTAAGTCACCCCAGGAAGCCGCATGAGCACTTGAAAGCTCCAGCTCCAAGAGCCCCAAGGGTGTCAGTTGTCCTTAAACCAAGTCTGCGCCCAAGGACCTCACAGGCCGGGAGAGCCAGCCTCTGCTTCCCTCAGCCTACCCTAGCTCCTTTATCCAGAGCCCCGTCGCTCAGTCATGGCCTTTCAAGAATGGCTTGGTCAGGATTCCAAACAGCTTGCCGTGTACTTCCATTGCAGGAGCACCTTTCTGCTAACCTCCTTTTCAGGATTCAGTAAATCCCCCTCCCCCAGAAACTCTTCCTGGCGTGTAACTTAATTCCACAGGCTACAGCCTGAAGTAGTTTTTTTTTTTTTTTTTTTTTTTTTTGGTTTGGTTTGGTTTGGTTTAGTTTGGTTTTTTGGCTCCAGAGGCTTCAGGGCAGGCATAAGAGCACCTGGAAAGTTCTGCCAGAGCCAGCTTCCATCCGGCCAGTCCTCCGGCCTCAGGCCGCCTTACCTTCCCCTTCTTGGTGAGGATCTGCTTATAATACAACCAGCCTTCTCTCCTGATGTCACTGAAGGTTGCATCTGAGAGGTCAGAGGTTGAGTGTCGTTTAGAGGGGGCATCAGCATCTTCAGAGGTGCCCCAGCTATCTAGAGACTGTTGGGAGAAGACATTAGGCAATTTAGGGTGACTCCCACAGTGCCAGCATCTCAGGAGCCTCATGGACCACTGGCAGCCACACGGGCCTGGCGTATGTCTGGGCTGTACTCTGCTGTGCTGGGTGACCTCATGGGCCTTGCTTGTCCTCTCTGGACTGTTTGTGTTGAGGTCATGAGACCTCCTGAAGAAGCCAGAACGGAGGAAAGAGCTGGACCTACCAGCAGGACACATGGCTCCCCACGCTGGAAAAACCAGCCTGGGCCTTCCTTCAGCTTTACAGCCTCGAAGGAATTGAGGAAACAGGGGAAGTGATTGTGGCAATAAGGAGTTAAGTAAACAGCGGAAGTAGGAACATCAACAAAGACCAAGTAGTGATGGGACAGGGAGTGAAACCCACCAGGAGTTAAACAAGAAGTGATGGTGTCACCAGGAATCCAGCCTCAGAGCTGGCGTGTCCAGGGAGAGTTCAGTAAGCTGAGGAAGTGACAAGGGGAGCTAGGTGGCTCTGTCTTGAAGGTGCTAAGCTAACAAAACACACTTGCGTGTGAGAAAAGTGCACAAATGACCAGGAGACCGGAAAAGGCACGTGGGGAGGCTTGGGGGCCCTAGCGCTATAATGTTCCCAGCACTCAGGAGGCTGACACAGAAACATCACAGGTTTGAAGCCAGCCTGAATTAAACCCTGTCTTCAAGGTCTATGAAGACCTGGCCTGGGGCTGGAGAGATGGCTCAGCGGTTAAAAGCACTGGCTGGCCAGGCAGTGGTGGCTCACACCTTTAATCCCAGCACTTGGGAGGCAGAGGCAGGCGGATTTCTGAGTTTGAGGCCAGCCTGGTCTACAGAGTGAGTTCCAGGACAGCCAGGGCTACACAGAGAAACCCTGTCTCGAAAAACAAAAAAAAAAAAACAAAAAAAAAAAGAAACAAACAAACAAAAAACGATGGCTGCTCTTCCAGAGGTCCTGAGTTCAATTCCCAACAACCACATGGTGGCTCACCACCATCTGTAACTGGCCTCCACAGCAGTAGGATGTGAGCATGGCACACACACACACACACAGGCGTGAGCATGGCACACATACACACACAGGC